CTTCATGAAATACGGAATCTTACAGAACTTACAGAAAACAGATGAGAAATTGAACACCTGCTGTGATATTACCTTTCCTGAGGTTGAATATGTATATTTGTGTTGGTTTGGATTTTTGTTTGTTTGTTTGCTTGATTGACTTTTTGCCTGTTTATTTTGATTAAATTTTTGGGTAGCTTGAGGTGCCTGATATCATTATTCATATCTGTCTCCTATCCTTTTGTCAACTGTATTTGTTGATTTGTGATCAGTGTTGATTGTTGTATCATCCATCCCTAGAAATAAGTCAATTGAGAGAAAAAGAGGACAGGCCAGACTCTGATCTCAGTTTTGTCATTGTAAGCCCATGGGCAAGGCACATAAGAACAGCCATACTGGGTCAGACCAAAGGTCCATCTAGCCCAGTATCCTGTCTTCTGACAGTGGCCAATACCAGGTGCCCCAGAGGGAATGAACAGAACAGGTAACCATCAAGTGATCCATCCCTTGTCGCCCATTCCCAGCTTCTGGCAAACAGAGGCTAGGGACACCATCCCTGTCTATCCTGACTAATAGCCATTGATGGACCTATCCTCCATGAACTTATCTAGTTCTTTTTTGAACCCTGTTATAGACTTGGCCTTCACATAATGCTAAAAAGTCCATTTCCAGACATGACAGGTTTCTACCGAATGGAAAAAAGACTCAGGCAGATTATTACTTTAGTTGGACTGATGTTAATACAGAGAAACTCCACCAGCTCCCAGGGGAACCACTGCAGGGCCATGTGTGAGTGAATCCTTTGCCCCAGCTCACAGAAACCAGTTCAACTGTATACAGGGCCCTCCTCACCTGTCGAGGATTGTGAGGGGATGGAGTTACCATATGACAATATTTGATATATCCCGTTGCAGCACACAAACCAATACCATTAATGAAGGTGTATCTTTTAGCTAGTCCTTTAAGTACAGGTGCAGGATACAAAAGGCATATAGTAATAGACGAGAAAGCCTGGGAAGTATTTTGTGACTCCTCTCTCAGAACACTAGTGATCCATATAGCAGTATTAAATCAGTTCCCTTAATGGGCTGAGTGCATTTTACTTTGTGAGGAATGTGCCCCCGCAGGGACTTGGATCAGGAAGCTTCAGATCTAAAAGTAGTCCCTTTCCACTCTAGCTGAAGGAGAATTTCTTAAAATTGGTAATAGTAATAATGCTCATACTTTTATGGGCACCAGGTGACAAAAGCATCTTTTTGCTGCAAAATAACATGTTAAGTCCAAGCAGCACAATGTGAGCCCAAAAGTCCCTTCTCACAGTGCAACTTTGAAATAAGCAAATTACAGCAACATTCTAACAGCTCTGAGTCTGGTGATAAGCCAGCACAAAACTTGAGAGTTTTACAAGAATTCAAATAGACATTGAATAAATGTTATTCACAATGTTCAGTTACCAGTTAGGAATAAACTTTGGTTTTTGTTTAGCTGACAGAACAAAAGGTTAATCATAAAAAAATACCATCACAGAGCCTAATGAAACTAGGACGGATAGGTAGCTTCTCATACACCAGTTCTCACCCTTGCATTGGACCATGTCACACTGAGTCTGGAACTTTTCCCTGGTGGTTGCCATCTTGTGCTCCAGAATCTCAATTTTCATTAAAAAATTCACTGAGCCTCAGGTTAGTGAAGAAAACTTTTAAAATATGAGCCAACTGCAACTGATGAAATGGTCAATTTCCAGAATGTGCAGGCAGCCTGAAATAACAATCCTGAGAGAAGTATGAACGGCTGTCCTGTCCCACTGGGGTGTGTTAACTTCAAAGCCTAATAAAGACAATTTACATGTCAATTTTATTAACTATTACACTGCTAATCAAAGCAGGCAAAAAAGGAGACAAACATTCATTATGAAGCTCTGCACACTCTACTGTGAATGGTGTCTCAGTCTGGCATTTTATCGGCTTCACAAGTGGTCAAAGCTTGGGTTGTGGGTGGAGCTTATTGTTACTTTTTAATGACCTCCAACTGGTTCCAGCTGCCAAACATCTGTAGCTTCTCTTGCCATGACTTCACTGCCTGAATTCCTAGGTAGGTTTCTCCCAGTCACCTAATATAATGTGACCATGCTACATATTTAGAAGTAGCCCCATTTTTTTGAGCATAGATTCAAAGATATCTACTCCCACCATTTTAAATTTGGCCATCTTCCAGCAAACATTTATTAATTTAAAAAGTTTACCGTAACCCAAATAGCTGTGATTGGGCAAGAAGACATGCTTTATATATGTTTGCAAGTAGAGAGAATACAAAATGTATGTATCATCTTTCTTTAAAAGCACTGAGAGAATACACATATATTCACAAAGCTCCAAGACGAAAAGACAAATACACCTACTGTTTAGGACCAGACTGGGCCACGGAACTAACAGACATTTGGTTAGTTGTCCAACTCCCTTTATGGGCTGCAGGACTAGGCTGTTCTCCTATTCGCTAGCTGCCAACTTGTGCAGACTGCAGCTCCCAGCAGAAGTAGAGAAGACAAGGAGAAATGGCACCAGAAATAGATCCTACGTGAAACAGCATAATTCAGCATAGCAGCATCCACTTTGGTGACCCTGAAGGAACGTCCTTTTACTCTGTTGCAGAATAAGCATGCACAGGAAGCTGTTCCACTCCTGGCTTCCCGACCTTGGTCTCCTTTCCACTTCACCAACCAGCAGATCCCACATGGCTGCTCTTAAGACCTCTGTTCCCCTCTATCTTCAACCAGCAGGGAAGCCATTTTTGACATTCAGGCCCTTCCCACCATTGCCTGTATGTGTGACAATATATGCAAGGGGATGACTGTAGGTGTGTGTGACTAGGGTTGCCACCTCTGAGGTACAAAAAAAAAAGGATATCTGGCATGATCTTGAAATCATTAAACTGGACAGCTAGTAGTGTGTACTGAGAACCCTTAGAGTTTTCCTCAAAAAAGGGACACTCCTGGACAGGTGGCCACCCATGTGTGATGGGTTGATTGTGAGGCTAAATAATATAAACACTTGTAATGAGGTGACTGACTGACACAATCACCACATACAGTCTGCCCACAGCCACCACTCCAGCTCAGAGCTCAAGCTGCTTTTGAGAGATAGATAAATATGGAAATAATGGAGATGGATGAGTGGAAGGCCTGAGAACAGTGGAATCAAGATCTGGCGAAGGAAATTCATGAGGAGAGCAGGAAGGGAAACATGATAGAAAGATAGAGGAGATGAGTGTCAGAGGGGCTCCTTGTCTCCTCTAATATAGGGTTGGGGGAGAGAATAGAAGTGAGATTCAGGGGAAGAGAGATATCAACAAAAGGGAAGGAAAAAAGATAGTGTAAAGCAATGTGGTCCAGCTGAGCTCAGGCCTCATTCACCACCACCACTGATTTTATCTGGCCCATTAATCACTATTATTCACTTATTAAATTTCAATGTATGCATTAAAAAACTAATAGGAACAAGGACTGGATGGATGAGGTGGATATGTCCCTTCCACTATTTTACTATCCACCCATCCTGTTGCTGATCCCCTTTGAAAAGGATGCCAGTTGCTTGCATTCTCAGTCCTGGTCTCTCTTCCCAGTTTTTTCACACTGTTGGGCCTCTGTTGTAAAATTCCCGAGACTCAGCAAATACTGCAAGTTCAGTGCTGCTACACTTCTGCCTCCCTATGCCCAGGTCTGTAGCTGCAGATGAGTTGGTACTTCCAGCCCTACACTCTCAGCTATGAACTCACCTGCTTTTCTCTTCCAGCTCTGGATGCAGGAAGCATCCAAGGCCCAGAAATGCTTGCTGCAATATGTGCAAGGTGCAATAACCTTCTTCAGCTTGCTACAACAGAAAGGGATGTTAATATGGCAGCTGTTGTCGTAAGACAGTTCTCAATGCTCTCATTAAAGAACATTGCAAGTGCCTTCATGAATGGTTTAAAATCAGGATATTTACAATTGTTATTGACTTATTTTCAGTCTGAAAGTTTTACAAAGTAAATACTAGCCTTTCAGTGTTTCCACCATCTACGCCTGCTCCTTCCATAGGTAAAATGTTGGACTATGCTGCTGTACTGGAGTGAAAACTAGAGTATAGAAAAATAAATGCAAATTGAACAAATCTAAAGTGAAAACACTGAAGTGGAGAAAGACATTGGCAGTATTTGGGTGAAAGAGGGAAAGAAGTAAGAGACACTAGAGAAACTGGAGAATCACAAGAGAAAATATATAGTAGAAAAGTGAAGAGTAAAATGGGATTAAAGGATAATAAACCACAAGTTAAAGTTTATTTTAGAATAAATATTGAGGAAGGGTACAAAACAAAACAGAAAATATAGGAGTATATGTATATTAAATATGCTACAATGAAGTTCTTTGTTGGATTATTATGCTTTGTGAAATTAGGCACCATTTTATCTGCATCACACATTGCCTGGTTATACTCTTGAGGTGTGACTCATTTCCCACAGCTAACTATTTTGGTCACTATTTAGCTGGCTAGAATCGAACCAATAATCTAGAGGTGACAGGCTTGATACCCCATTGTCAATCCCTTGGACGGCCCTGTTCCTCAGTTCAGCTCTCATTCTGTGTCTGAAACAAACACAGGAAAAACAGAGCTATCCTTTATATCAATACAGGATTAGATGACAAAGGTAGAAAAAAATCATTTATAGTAGTGGGTAAGAAAACCTTGTACATTAGTAACTTATTTGCAAGTAGCTGGTACAACATGTCTTCACCTGGTATAATATACTGAAATATACAGAAATACATTACTGCATATGTCCACACATTTTAATAATATAATGCATGCTGGTGGTTATAAAAGGCACATCTGTGCTTCCCTTTGTCTATTATATCCAGTATCCATTATATGCGGGGGTCGAAGCATATGTGACAGGAATGTGTGTGTAAGCAATGGTTCAAGGGTGAGCAAGAATGTATTGAAGAAATTAGAGACCACTCAAAAACCTGCTCAGTGTGTGTGTTTCTTTATTCAGTAATTATTTAAATTCATTTTACAGCCATAGCACATGATACTTTTTTGCAGCATCTGCTTAAGATATTAAGGAGAAAATCTGTGGTTCAGATAAAAAACAAGAACTAACAGAATTGTTGACATGAGCCTTTTACTCACAATGTCAAATAGAGATCATTTAGAATGTTTATTTATCTACCAAGGATTTACACAGCTTTTAAAGAATTATTTTTGCATAAAACAGCTCTGTAGCTCCTCTGAGTTCAGCACGTCTTTTATTTCTACGGCCTCTCTCCCTATCTCTCCTTTAAGGCACTAGCAACGTCCAGAAAAGATTCATTGTAACTGAAGATAGCTTGTTAAAAACAATTAAAAATATACTGACATTAATTTGACTTATCTTTCTCTAACATGAACCAAAAAGCAATACTAGCTATATATGTTCTAAGATATTTCTAAAACAAATTTCCAATGTTCCATGCAATACTCTGTTCTCATTAAGGACCACCTGTTTTAATAATATAACTATTATAAATTTTAATAATGGTCTGCATTTATCAGAAAACATTTGGACATCTTAGCCTTTATTTTATTTAGAATTTCAGGAGATATTCCATTGAGGTAACATTTACTTTTGAGGTGTATAGTTTGGACTCAGCATGCTGTGTGCTTTAGTCTTTGATGTTCACCAAGTTTGTTTATGAAGTGAGTTAGAACTTGGAATCTAATATCTTACAGGGAAATTCTTAAACAGACAGGATGTCTCCTTTTTGGTCTCTGTGTGTGTGCGTGTGCATGCAGCTTTTTTTCATAATTGTTTCTAAAATGAAATAACATAACCCAAGCCCAAATAATTGTTTAAACAAGTTTGGTTTTTGGCTGGAAAAAAAATTCAAAGTACTTGAAATAGCAAGGTGACCAACTGTTTAATTTCATCTGTATCCTTTTCTAAGTCGACCCACTAGCTGTATCCTTTTTAGATGATCTCCAAAAAGTATGCCTCTAATGAAAAGCAACACTAAATATCAAGGGAATAATGCCACATTATTTTTCTGCATATGGAGTAATTATGTCTCTTTAAATAGTTGTCAGGTGAGGCGTCTAAGACCCTCACACCAAAAAAACTTGTGACTCCTGGCCTCACTACAGGATTTATTTTATGTTTCCTGATTTTTTCACGTGAGACTCAGTGTATACGAGCACATGGAGGAGTTGTTTCTCCTGTCAGCTGCAATTTCAAAGGTGACTTTAAATTTTATTAAAATATGTAGAATCTATTTGGCCCACACAAGGCCCTCCTGTGTAATAAGGTTGGGACCAGCTCTGTCCAGCTTACTGACCATCTTAAGGAGACAGAGCAGGTCCCTGGCACAGACAACTAATTTTCCTTTGACTCTGAGTTGGTATTTCATTGTTCCAAGGACAGATGGATGATGAATGACAATGGGAATCTGCTGGAAGAGGAAACTGACCCGGCCCATGATAGGAGAGCTACCCCTGAAGAAGGTAGAGGACACCAGTTTTCAACTGGATCACTTAACTATTTTCACCCTTCCAGAAAATGGATAATTGGAATAGAAATAATACAATATTCCAGGCTTCTGGTCTGTCTCAACCCAGAAATGTCTGCCCCTACAGTTCAGGCCATTACACCTCAATTGGAATGCCTAAAAGAATCAACACCTAAGAGGGTTGCTGAGTGTGTCCCACTTACAAATCTTCTATTCAGCTTCCACTCAAGACCACTCAGCATCCTGAAAAAGATCCTGTATATTAAAATAGGGCTCCACGGTGTCAACATTCTTCTGTTGTGCTATGTACAGCATCCAAAACTGAACAAATGCCTGCTGTAAATTGGGGATATTGAGGCTTTCTAGGTTCCTTTTCATGATGTTCACCCAACCAAAAGTGGTAATTGGAAAGTGTCACTTGAAAACAATAAAAGGAAATCTAATACAAACAAGAAAGAGATTTTTATTTTCACAATACTATTAATTTAGAATACGGAATGATAGACTTTTAACATCTCTATCATTTGCAAAGGAGACCAAAAGCTGGCTTATAGCCAGCATTTCCCCAAAACATAGATTTTGTTGTCTAGTTCTCTATGTTTGCTGCCATCTTATCAGATTCTCTTTGGACATATTTCTCAAGATAAATTTCTGGTGAAATAAGCTGAATGACAATTTTGTAGCTCTTTCCAACTAAATTAAATGGAATTGCTGCCACCTGCCTATACTGCTTATTTTACTACAAATTAAGTTTTACAAATTTTCAAGATGAGATCAGTGATAATATGCAGATGTGGTTGATTTATAAGTACCTATAATAAGAACTGTGGCCCACAGACCTCATAATACCAATTGGCAGTGGGTACAGGGGTACATAGGAAACAGGGAACCCCTGGATTCACCAAAAGGAAACATGTCGGGGTTCTACTGAAAGCATGTATGACACTGGTCATCATAATCGTTGCAAGAGGTATGTACAGAAAATATGTGAGAAGTTTATATATTTGCTGAAAATTATGTTCTCTACCCCTTGTAGTTAAAGGCAGGTGACTCAAAGGTAGTGTGTCCTGAAACAAAAATCTCCAGACAGGAGATGGGAGACACTTATTTTTCTGGTGGACCATTGTCTATAATGTCTATTAGCATATTAAGTCAAATGCTAATGAAGAGCTCAGGGAAGGAAATTAACAGGAAGAGATAAACAGTGGGGGAGGCTCTGTTTTCAGGTGAAAATCAAAGGGTCTTGTCTGATATATCTGGAAGGGCAGAGAGACATTCTGGCATCCTTGATTTTATGAAAGGGGGACCTCAGCCAACCTGGTTGAAAATGCTGGGGAAAAGACTTGGGGTAAGCTATCTTGTAGAGATAGGGGGATATCCTGTGAGTTAAGTTTAGTCTCTAGAAAGCATATCATTATTTTGTTTTATATGTGAACATTTGTATCCAATATTCTTCCTTTTACTATCATCTGAATCTCTGTTCTTTGGTAATAAACTTATTCTTGTTTTCACTATAAATATACCCAAGTGCTGTTTTTTAAGTAAAGTAGTGATGCTGAGTTGAATATTGTAAGGTGGTGTGTTCTTTGGGAATGGGGAATCTCAGAGTTCTGTGAGTGTTCAGTGAATCAGAGGCTCAGAGGCTGGGCACTCCAGAGGGCACTCTGGGGACTCAGGCGTTGTTGGTGTGTGTTTATTGCTACCCTGCACAGAGAAAGCGAGGTCTCTGCAGTCCTGGAAGGCAGTGCTTGTGTTGCCAGAGGCTGATGTCAGGGAGCTGATTCACAGCAGGCACAGACAAGACTTCCTCACAAGGTACCTCACAACCCTGGGTAGCCCTGGGGAGCATCACAAGAACAAGATTAAATGAAATGAAAATTAAATGAAAATACAATATGCATCCTCCTTTACTATCTATTCATAGGATGTAGTACATAATTAACGATTTTAGTTGGTGCTAATGGGGTGAACAGTTGAACCTATTTTCAAGCATTGTGCCAATATATATTTACCAAAAAATATGCAGATGGCATGCAATGTGCAGCTGTGTATTTCAGACTTTTGGGTGTCAGTAAAAGTACCATTCTGTCTGCGTAAAGGAATTGTCATCTGGACAGTAAGATACTCCCATGATGGCGGTGGTATAAAAACCTAGATAGGTAGGTACATAGGTAGAAACATTAAAAGAACATTGTAAAATTAAGTTAAACACATTCTTTGCAAGTCAAATACTGAAAAACTGGGCCACAAATATATCTATTTTGATATTCAAAACTGCTTAGGTACAGAAGAGTCAAAGTCAAATGGATTTTCATCTGACATAGGGTACCTTAGGGACAGTAGCTAGATGTTGTAAGTTGAGCTGTGCTTAGGCTGTTCTAACTCACATTAGGGCCAGGCACAGAGCAGCCCAAGAATCCGGAAGCCATAACTGGATGCCTGGTGGCTTCCCTCTCTCCTGTACTGAGCTTATCTTGGCACAGAAGACAACTGGCCCATAATGGGTAAAACAAGTGTAAAATCCATGCCACATCCCTGTTTAGTTAACATTTCCTCCAGTTAATTGTACAAACTATTTGGCTTTCTTTTAAACCTATACATTGGCACAAACAGTGACTGGCTGTTGGGAAGGACCTACTGCAGTGCAACTAAATTCTTCTTAACTGGAAAAAGGCAAATAGAATATTTTCAAATACTGCTAGTCAATCTTATATTATAACCTGCATTTAAAATTAGTGGATAAAGCTCTGATGATATTTTAGCATATAGTTAATATAACTAAGTAGACGTGACAATCATTTGTTCTAACTTTAGCAATCGAGTCATTTGCAATTATTCTTTTTCTAACTTTGAAAAATTGGACAACGCTGAGGACGGGGAACCTGTCTGCCAAGTACTTCAGACCTAAGGCATCAAAAGGGACATTAGAGTTGCTAAGTGTATGTTTCTTATTTTCTATGCTTGCCAATCTAACTGTTCACATAAATACTTCTTAGAAAGCTACTTTTATAACATTTTCATAAACTTGCTTGCTTATTTTATTAAAACCCAGAATCTCTTCCAGAGGGTCACAGTTCTGTAATTTTTCCAGATCAAATATACATAATTAAATATTGTTTCTTCTATGGTGATGGTAAGCAAATCTCTATTTGCTTATGAAACTAATATCTGGTGGTTACAAGTGAACCATCTGTGACTGGAGTTTCCAGCATTGTTTAATTCAAATTATTTCTTTTTAAAAGTTTCTTTATTATGACTACTGTATAATAATTGCCCAGAGTTCTCCTGTGATTATCAATGAGTTATTTAAAATATTCAGCACAGATTTTATTTTTGCTATTGTAGATTGATTATTAGCAGTTCTCTATGAGTATTCACTGTTCCAGCAGTGTTAGTTGTGAATGGCCAGATAGTCCACATGGTACTCATTTCTGTACTGATGAGTGTATACGCATATCTAATGCAATTAATCACACATACAAATTTAAAATTTAGGTTCCACTAATATTTGTGCTAGTGAAGCTGGAGAATTTTGGAAACTAAATATAATAATTGAGCATGGAAAATTTCACCCAGTTTGAATGTCCACATACAACTGCTAGGCTAGTCTTTGCTGGGAAACAATACAAATTATGACTCCATTATGTTTCAAAATCCAGAAAATGAACTATAATGGTTCAAAATTTCCTTTCGCTACTAACACATGATAAGCGGTGATATTTTGCAAATTTGAGCATGTTTCAGTTATACATATAGAACAAAAGAGCATAGCTCAGACTTTAACCAAATCATTGTAGATATGGTCCTCCCATGATAACAAATATCATAACAAACAAGGATGCGCTTTAGGTAATGCAGTTCCCAGAATAGATGCTTGTCTCTGTCATGCCTAGTGAAGAAATGTCTGGGGATTGTATCCAATTCTTAGAATCCACAATGAGGTACATTGCAGAAAAGTATGGAACAAATGCCATACTTTACTATTTATACACTGATGCTGTAGTGATACGCTACCTTAGAAGTAGATAGGCATAGACAAATATATCATCCTGACTTCTTTTCGCTCAGCTAGATCAACACATAGAAATCCACATAGATCAAAGAGTGGAATCTGGTGATCAGTTGCCTTGATTTCACACACGCAGATGCTGATATTTTATGGTTGCTTGTGTGGATCTTCAAAGGGGCTGAGTAGAGTCCTAGGGCTAGTCACATTTGTTATATAGATAGAAATGTAAATCACTGGAGTCATCTCTACTTGAATTGCAACAGTCAAAGTACAGTAGTTCCAGCTTCCACCGCCTATTTGAAATAGAAGGTTAATACATTTCATTAGTGATATCATACTGCCCATGGTATCATTAGTCAATGTTGCCATGAAAGACTAATGATTTGATAACTGGAGTATATTTATTATAGTGGCAATTTGTACCACTATACTATAAATAAGGGTGTCTTGGCATTTCAATAATAAATCCTATTTTCAGGGGTCTATTACTTGGTCATAAAAATCACCCTGGGCTGAAACAGATGTACAATAACAATAATATATTACCAAAATACACATTTAATCTGGTGAATAATATGGTTTTGAAAAATCCCTAAACGTGCATTCAATTAATCACAAACATTATTTACATAGAGATTGGAATGTGTCATTTGGATACTGACACAGAATATTTTAAAACAGGTCTAAGGGCCTGATTCTGATTTCATTTACATTGGCATAAACAGAAGTCACTCTACTGGAGTCAAGGGTTACACCAGTGTAAAAGTGGTGTGAGTGAGAACAAAATCATCCCTTGAAGATGTAATTACCTAAAATGGACCTTATCCTGGCCAGGAGGGAAGGATCAAGCCCAGGATAAGCAGATATTATGGTATGTCAAATGTCATATACACCCATCAAACTTTTCAAGATATACCATTTCATAAAGAAATATTTATCCAGAGAAAGAACATTTGAGGTTTCGATACATTACTGTTTAGGGGCAGGTTATGCCCAGCCACTACATGGGTGCAGAAGCTTGTCAGGATGCAGAAAGCACCCTCCCTTTGTATGAAGAAGTGTCCATGAATGCATAGACTGCATCTGCCTAGTACTCCTGTAGGCATTAGCCACAACAAAGTGGGCAAGAAGGTGTGGGAAGGAGATGGGGCCATGGGGATTGTGCACATCATCAATACAGATGGTGCAGAGCACGTTCATTCCACTTGCATGCGGTGTTCCAGTTGGACTCGTGTCTATTCTAACGATAATCCCTCCAAGAACTCCTCACCTTGTAATCAGCACTTAATTAAATCCACGTGCTTAACATACACCGTAACTGGAAAATCACAGATTAAAATAGTTAAGTTAAATATAAATTGCCTTTTTTTAGAAGTACCTTGCTATTTGGATGGAAGAAGTAATTATATTTAACAGAATTTGCAGCTCTTAAGAGAATACTTTATAGTAGTTAACATGATTAACATGACAAAAGCAAAGAAATTCAAATAAATTTAGAACTGAAGTGAAACTCCATCCTTTATTTTATTCTGCATAGGTTCTTACACTGCACTCATCATTGTAGCATCAGAGCAACTTCCAGCAGCGCATTAAACGACATGACTATATTACATCAAATATTACCCAGGATTTGGAATTACCTGCAGTGACAAGGTACAATGGGGGTGGCATGATGATATTAACAGAATACAGTATCTCACTGTAAGGATGGGTTCATCTGCAGGACTCACATAACGAGGGCCAGTGACTTAAAGGCACGATCTAGCCCTTCTTGTTTCGCCAAACACTTTGGTCAGTGGTTGGTAGGGCTGAAATTGTACCATCCTCCTTAAAATAAAATAGACACATTTACACTGTTCTCTTTGGTCTCTAGCAGGTGAGGTACTGAGCATCCTCAACTCCCAGTGAAGTCAGTGAGAGTTGTGGGCATGCAGCAATTTGCAGGAGCGTTGAGTACTTACGGGACTGAGCCTCGAATTGCTGAACATTATTTTGTTAATGAAGATGCCAACGATATTTACTCCAGCATCACACTTCTGAGTGACCCCGGAACAATCACACCCCACACCCCACACCCCTTCTGTGCAAGTGCATTTGGTTTCTCCATGATTTAGTGCACGCTGGCACTTTTCTCCATTGTTCTGTGCTTCTTTGTTCTTCAGCACAAGCAGGGATAGGCATATTGACAAGGATCTTCTTCTTCTACGAAGCATACCAGGTATTTGAATATTCTGTTTATAAACATAGACAGACACACTAGGAATAAGTGATGCATCTATGCCATGCTTGTACATGTTATGTATCTCTATGTCCATGATCCAAAACAAAGGGAACAAACCTAATTTTAGGCTAGCCAGTTTGGAGTGTATCACTTAAATTATTATTCATTTTGTTTTTCTGATGTATTTATTCTTTTAAATGTTCTGTTCCTTTATCTGATAGCTATTAGTGAGTTAGTGAGTATCAGGCAAAAGAGGATTCTGGTCTGAAACACAAAATGTTCCTACTCTGCTACTCAGAGTTTTTAATCTTTTAAAACACATATCTAAAGATGAAAATGTCTTTTTTGGAGTCCACATCAAAAGGATCTTAGAAGTCATCAAAGAAAGTGGAAAGCACAGCATATGATGTTCTAAGGATGGTTTCAAGCCTCTAAAAAACTTAGAGACCTGATCCAGTTCCCATTGAAGTCAATAACAAAACTCACATTGACACCAATGGGAGCAGGATCGGGCCCTGACATGTTAAACCACTGACAAATATTATTAAAAAAATGTGAGCTTTACAGATTTTACTTTGGCAACTAAAAATATAAAAACATATAACACACTTATAAAAGTCAGTGTAATGCTCTTGGGGTTTTCAAAGAACAAGATAATGAATGAATGACAGATTTCACAGAGATTTTCTTATTATGCTGGTGCTTGTAACTGAGTGCTCTGTAACTGTAACCATCTTCATAGTCATTTAGAACACATTTTGTTTCTTTGTTTTTATTAGGGTGGGATTGTATTTGTCATTACCTTTTTGTTTTCCTCAAAGAATCTGTCAAGGATTTTGAAATTCCATTCATTTATGGACCTTCATTATGGCAGGGCTGAATGATGGCTACTTTTTGTTCTGTTTTTGCTGTTTGTTTATTGTTTAGGCAAATCCATCCCATTCTGCTTTTCCTTATATGTCAAAATAATATTTGCTTATTTATACATGTGAACAGTCTTAAACCTAGACAGCATTAGGAAAAACATATTGTATGCTCACAGAGATAGCTTGTTATGATTTAATATTGCAAGTAACATCAATATTTACTAAGTTGTCAAACATAAAATTTCACTCTGGATAATAAATTCAGTTAAGAGATAGGGCTATATACAGTATACTCACTTGTAAACCATTCAAGTCAGAAATCCTGTTTCTTTTTCTCTCTAAGTAGACCCAGGCTCTGAGCCTTATCCTGCACCTATCGAAGTCAACACAAGCACTGTTATTGTCTTCAGTGAGCGCAGAATAAGGCTTCAGATATATCTGGGGAGAGAGGCAAAGAATGATCATTGCATACTACTCAGGCTGACACACTGCTGGAACTAGTATTGACTCTGAGGAAGCCGGTAGCCAGTTTCTTTTCACAGAATAATGTTCTGGTGGACAATGATAGCCAATAACTTGATTTATTTTCAACAACAACAGAAAAATGTTAAACTGAATTTTTAAATCAGACCCTCTTTCTAGCTCCGTTTCCATTCCGTCTAGTTTGTTTACCTTTCTATTAATAATTCTGTTCACAGAAAGCTCCTGGGGTCAGATTGTCCCGGGCCCTTGGGTGTGTGTGTGAGGTGAGGAATGGATAGTGCAAGCTGTTTTTCCCTCATCTAGATACACGGGGCACCACACATAAGGGCAGGCACAACAGAAGTCTGTGCATTCAACAGAGTGTAGGCATCACTCTCTCTATGCACCCACAGATGCCTCAAAAATGGCAAGGAAGAGGCAGGGCAAGGACCTGACACCACCCCACAGAAGTCAACACAGCTGTCTGGGTGTACTTGGCACACAGGTGGTACTACCTCAATGGACGGTGCAGCTCAATGGGAGGGATTATGCAAAACTCAGTGCCATTTTGTGGCAGTCAGCTCTCCTTCATCCCCAGCATGGGCCAGTGGCTCGAAGCCACAACTGAGCCCACAAAGCAGAAATGGTAATAAGGACTAGTGGTGAGAGAAACATGCCTTTTCAAATAGAGCTCAAAAAGTTCATGGGCCATTGACTTCACTGGATCCACAACAGGCTCCATTGGATAAGGACAAGACTGCATTTAACAATGTGTGTGTTTAAATCCACCGAGGTTCACACGTTCATTCAAAACTGAGTAGGAAAATTGAAATCATGCTTGTGTCTGACTTTGGAGACATCTCGTATTTGTGAGTTGATTGTCTGAATGCTCTGCTTTAAAACTAAAAACAAATGGTGTCTCATGGCATGTCTGATAACTTACAGTCATCCGAGGTGTTTGAATCATGCTACTGTATGTAGCTGACAATTGTTTGATAAGTATCACTAAGTGGTCTGGCTCTAAACCAAGCCTGTCATCTAGTGGAGTGCTATGCTATTCCAACTTTAATCTAGCTAACTGGCACACATTAGCATAAGGAAACGCAAATGCAACACAGCTGCAGCTAGTCTAGCAGAGCTAAAATGCTTAACAATGTTTTATGCCTGTAACATAAGACTGCTTACTAATGGGAGAATCCTAAGTGCAAAAGACTGACAATCAGTTGCCTTTGATATAACTGGTTATAAAAATGTTGTAGGTTTAGTATTTATGATCCCTGCAGGTTATAATAAAATGCTTCCTGTGTTATTGCTTCAGCAGACATTAAAAATGCTAGATAGCTATGGTCAAACGTAACTAATAGTTTGCCCGATACATGTACAGCAAGCTAAGTTTACAGTGGAGAACAGGCTAATGATCAACAGTTTACAGACCTGCTTGTTACATAACTTAGACATTATAGTGTTCTGTATCTGCATGCCCTTTTCTGAATATGTATCTCATGAATCCTGTGTAACACTGTGTATGCATTAGGTATACTAAGTAAGAGGCAGCATTGTAAATTAAAGAAATAGCATGTGACCCAAACGCTTTTGTCAATAATGAATTGATTATTATGCCACAAATAGTACTAAAAATCTAATAAATAAAAAATGCCAGCTGGATAACTGCAGTATAATGGTAGGTTAAGTTCTGGCACTTGAGGCAAGCATAAGCAACCGTATTTATGCTATTGGGTTAAGG